CCCATTGGTACAAATTCGTATAGCAAATATAACAGTAACAGGTTCCAATAAAACCGTTTGCTTCGTATCGTCCCTACACTCTTTTACGGGCCTCGATTCCATTAAGGCCTGTTTATGACGCCGCCCTAATCCCGTAAGCCGGGACGGGCCGTAGCACTAAGGCAGACTTCTGCCCCCCAACGAGACGAAGTAATTTTATGAAAATGTGCAAGGGAACAAAGGTTTGCATGTCATTGTTATTGATTCAAAGAAACAATTAGAATACTAGCTATATTAATTAATACGCTTACTTGGTCTATACCAAGTAAGCGTATTCAGAACGAAATTCATGGTTTGTTTTAAGATTGCTAGGTTGGTTGGTAGCCTTACTTACTCAATAAAAAGTATCGAAAGAAATGTTTATCATCGGATTTCTGTGAGGCCGTGGAAACTCCGGTCAAATAGGCCCATATTTGCAAATGCATGGCTCTGTCGCGGTAATTCTACGTACCGTAGAGTACTTACGGTACAATACATGATGCATTTGCAAAATATTTAAACTTAAATAAACTAGTTTTTGTCATTGGCTCCGCTAATCGCGGTAACAAGAAGCCCGTGTCCTTTCTCGAGAATCAAGATAGCTCCATGCCAAATTTAATTAAAATCAGTTTAGCGGTTTCACCGTGAAAGCGTAACAGACAGAAAGAATTACTTACGCATTTAATGGTTCTCGTCATATCTCCAGGGACGCCAATAATCTGTCTGCTTCTACAAACTCTCTTGGCTGTGGTTTTTACCAAGGTGGCATCCTCTCTCCTCTATTATTCTCAATATTATCAATCTCATCTTCAATGTGCGTATCATCTTTATGCCGATAACTTGCAGCTCCATTACCAGGCCTCGACATACGTCATAAACGAGGCCGTTTTTATGCTGGAGGCTATTAACGGTTGGGCTGATAGGTTTGGTTTGGCTGTGAATCCAGCGAAGTGCCAAGCCATCATCATAGGCAGTCAGCGCATGACTGAAAGGACAGGTCAAGACAAACTGCCACCCAATCCTTTTAACGACGTAGTCATTCGCTTTCCACCTACTGTTAAGAATCTAGGCCTATTTATCGACTCTAAGCTCAACTGGCAAACCCAGGTCACCAGCGTCAGCCAGAGAGTTACAGGTAGTGACTGCACGGATGACGTAGTGGTTTAAGCGGTCACCTCGCCACTTTCTACTGCGTCGAGTGTTCGTGTGATTCGATCCCCTCTTGGAACAACACTTTGTGTGATCCGCAAATTGTTGTTCTGAGTCTGGGTGTTCTTTGTGTCTGTTTTATGTATGTTTGTAAAGTCGCCCGCGACACAGGATATATTCCTACAATTACTTCTTTATTTCCTACAATTACAATACTTACAATTACTTTAAAAATTTTTTGGGGTGTTTCTTTCATCTATACATATACACACTCGAATTACAAACTACAAACACTAGCAGTGTTTGTAGTTTGTAATTCGGTGTTTGTAAAAACGGCCACCAACTTGAAATTTTGGCAAATGATGCTTTTTATGTGCTAAGCACCCACAAAAAAGTATTTTCTGCAATTTTACCCCTAAGGAGGTAAAATAAGACATAGATCATGCTCATCATACAAATATTTATCCTGAGTGGGAATTGAACACACAACCTATGGCTTAGCACTCAGAGCCACTTACCACTAGACTAAAATAACTGTTTCTCCTTAAGTAACAATAACTTTACAGACCAATTTTCGTGAAGCGTTTTATCATTTAATTTAATTATCAATTCACATACCTAATAACAAGGAGTTGGGAGTTGAAGAGTACAAGAGAAGAGGCAGACCGAAAAAAAGGTGGATGGACTGCGTGAGGGAGGATATGGCTAGGAAGGGAGTAAACAGTGAGACGACGCATGACAGAGGAGAATGGAAAAATCATACATACTGCGCCGACCCCAAATATAATTGGGAAAAGGCAGATGATGATACCTAATAAATATTATGAGACTTTTGTAAAGATTGAGAGTTATTAGTGTATCTAAGTACTTATTATTAGACAGTAGAAGAAGACCGTTTCCATTAAGGTATCAAAATATTAGTTTTTGGCCTCAGCTCAGCCCGCGTATAAGTATGTCGGTTATCGCGGTAAAAAAGATGTAGATATATATATATATATATGGATATATGTATATATTTATATGTACGTTTTTATTATGTAAATTTAAAAAACTGGAACTTTTATCAAAGGCCGATATTATATTTTATAAATTAATTATTTGTTTGAATAAAAAAGCATATTTCTTAAATTGTCACTTTAAATATTTTTTCGTTTGACTGTACAAAAAAGTAGAGTCAAACGTGTGTTGTGACAAGTGGTAACGGATTAAGAATACAGAGTGTCACCACCCCTATTCAACCCGTGGGTGTCGTAAGAGCCGACTAACGGAGAAAACTACGCAGAACAACAGCACTGCGGTAGAAGGAAAACTTGACACAAACCCTATACCAACCCGTCTGGCGAGCGTGGTGTAGTAGGCCAAAACCTCCTTTCTAAGGAGAGGCCTATGTCCAGTAGTGGACTAGTAATGGGCTGTTGACGTGATCCGCTCAGAGTGCAACGCGTAATAAGGAACTTCGTTCCAATACATATGATATATCTAATAGAATCCTTACCGGAGTCTTCTTAAAATAAAGAATTTGGTGCCCATTTCAACAGGTTTTGGCAAAATTTAAATATATAACACATATTAACATATTTGTGTGATCCCCTTTTAATTGTCTTGATTTTGATACTCTATTCAATAGGTTTTTTTTTCTTAACCTATTACTATTTTACGCCGAAAATCTGCCATTTTGTTTTTTCTTTCAAAAAATAATCTAAAAGATGAGATAAAACGACGAACGAAGATACAAGGTGATAAAGAAATTTGCAAACAAACACACAACTACAATAGGTAGTTTCTCTCCTCTTTGGTACCGTAAATAACCAAAAATAATAGTCATCACCACGTCAGCGCCATGTATATGACCGTGACCACAGATGGCGTAGTGTTGCACGTACCACAGGTCAATAGTTGTAAGCCTCAAAAATGTAATATCATTTAAAATGTATCCTTTTGTGTATCCTGTTATATGCTGTGTTTTTACAAATTAAAGTTTTATTTTATTTTTTAAGTTACGAGCGAAAAACATAACCCTTTATTGGCAGTCGGGTAAAAAGAGTAGCAAAAAATAGTTTTCTTGGGAGCCTCCGATTTATCAAAGCGAATTCCATTGTTTTTTTTTAGTAGCTATTGACGTGTTAATTTCAGAGAGAGTTAACAATAAAAAAAGAAAAACTAAAACAAATATGGCCAGTTGAAGTTTCTTCTCTGATAGCTCCCTCTCTACTTAGTACCGGATTCCCATCCGAGACTTTTGCTATCCGTTAACCTAACTCCCTCTATCTTCTTCTAATTTACCTTCTATTTTTATCCAGTCAGGAAGCGATTATATTCCCAAAAAAGTGGCATCAGACACACCGGCCAATGAACCAGCCAAAACACTTTGCATGTTACACACACAACCTTAATGTACATATTATGCCAATCCGAAATAAAATTGATAAAAGGACCTATCGTAGTCCACTGCTGGACATAGGCCTCTCCCATTGCACGCCACTTAGATCGATGATGATCATGACGGTTAATAATAATATATGTTGGAGTATAACTACACAGCAGTAACCTTGCCGCTTTCTACAGCTTTGAGTGTTGTGAGTTCCATCCCCACATGGGACAATACTTGGTGTGGTCCACAAATTGTTTTTCTGAGTTTGGGTGTTCCTTGTGTCCGTTTCATGAATGTATGTGATGTACCCCACCACAGGAAATATTCCCAGTGCCGCAAATGTCTTTAAAAAAATAACTTTTATTGCTTTTAAAATATACAATAATTATAAAAGAGATCATCATGTAAACTTACTCAAATTACTTTGCTATAAAACAAAAGTACTAACACTGATTATTTGCACAATATTGAAAATCCTTCGTGATCAAAACAGATTTTCCTCTTTGAAGGAACTATTATTCTTAAAAATAATTAAATACATTCAAATTCAAACTTCAACCTTCTGAGCGACCTTTATTACATAAAGAAATAGTAGCAACGAAAAGCAGATTCAACTTCCTAAAGTCACTGTAATAAAGGTTATTTTATAGGTCTTTTACAGCTCGAAACGCAAGTTTTATACTTCAAGATTTGCGTGATTACGTGCAATCTCTTGGCAAATAGAAAAGGCGGAGAGTCGCAAAGTCGTTGACAGGCAACTGCCGAGAAAACTTAGCCAATTTGAGGCAGTAAAAAATTTCTCTCGAGCAATTTGGGTTATTAAAATGATATTTATGTTTTGCATCTTCTATGAGAATATAATATCCTAATATAATGAGTCAACCTAACCTCCTTTCTAAGGAGAGGCTTATGTCCAGCAGTGGACTATTAAAGGCTGTTGATGATGATGATGATGATGATGATAATGAGTCATTATATTAAAACTTAGGTTTTCTTGATCTAGTGATGTTTCTAAATGAGTTCTCTAAGACTGAATTAGTTGCGGTTTCGGTTTCGCTCCTTTCAAATTAGAGGATAGGGTAGGGATAAGTCCTTTCCCACACTTTGAAACCTAATGATTAAAATTATTTCATGTTTTCATATTAATTTCTTACCATGAACCAATAAAATCAAATGACTTTTCTGTCTAGGTTTCCTCTGGAGCCTTTAGTAAACGATATGATGACCAGTTACCAGTGGAATTAAACACTCTTAACGCTGTGAACAATACATACATATACTTTAACCCTGAAGGGGCCCACATAATGGGGGCCAAGCACATTAATGGTATCTGTTTTGATCTGTCTGTTTCAGATGGGATGGGATGAATGAGGTGATCGAACGTATACCGCCACTTTGAGCTTATTCTAAGTTATGACTTTCAAAATATTGAATCTTTAAACATGTATGATGTATTGATCAGCAGGTCACAAAGAGTCGTGCGGGGAGGAGAACAAAGTGCACGAGATCAAGCCGAACATCGAGCGTCCGCACCATGCGCTCGGCGCGCGGCTGCATATCGCGCACAACATACGAGCGGAACACTTGCAAGGTTGGTGCTTTGATAGCCTCCTCCCGCTCATACACCCCTCACCTCTCAATCCTAAAGTTATCATAAAAAAGTATGTTTTGAAATTAGATAGTTGACTGTTAAATCAAATTAATCTTTCTTTATTAAACCTCAAAGTAATCGGTTTTGTGTAGGATATAGATTTACCAAGTTAAACGTCAGAAAACAAAAACCCGACTGCGTGAAAATTTAAACTTAAAATTTCGGACTGACGATTTTTTTAATAATAATAATAATATCTTTATTAATTTCTTAAACATCTTACAATCTAATGGCTGGGGTCTCCTGTTAGGCAATGAGAAGCCTGTGTTAGGAGACTCCGCTCCTCCTAATGTTCCACGATAGCGTATAAGTAGAAAAAAGAAATAAATAAAAATGCAACTATACTATATAAACCAAATCAAGAGAAGATCATTAAGCTACCCACACCACTCACCCATTACAGTTTTACCCACCCACACACATTCCACACTCATACACACACACACACATATGCACACACATATATTATTTGTATTAGTCTTTTTCTGCAAGCCTTAAGTTGGTTGGTACGTATTACTTTGTAAGAGTACATGGCAAATAATTAATTGAGTAATGAGAGTAGACAATAATGCAACTCAATTTTAAAGCTTATCTCTTCAACCGATTGAGCTGAAATTTTGTGTACACGTTTAGTCGGGGTGACAACGCATGGTTAGCTGTATGACGTCATTCTAAATCCAACATGGCGAAACACCCAAGATTAGGGACTAGTTATTTAATGCACTCCTACAATATGGGTATCAAATGAAAGGGCTTGCTGAGAATAACTAGAAAAATAAAGTGACTTCACTCTAAATCCAATATGACGGACTTTTAAAGATAGAAACCTGTCCAGCAATAACTAAATTGAAAGTTAAAATGGTTGTTTTTTAAAAGGTTTTTAAAAGCGAGATTTACCTAAGTTTCTTCTGAACCAAAATTTGGGAAACATAACCTTCCTTTGGCGCAGACGGGCAAAATTGAAAATCACATTTTTCACATTGAAATTGAGCTTAATTTAATACAAAGAGATGGTTAAAGTATGAAATTCTATATTGTTAAATTTATCATTGCACAATATGGTTTCTTTTTTTGATTTAAAAACGTAATTTTTTACCTAAACCTACTTTGATATTTAGACTAAAAAGAAAAGAAAGAAAGAAGATTTTATCTCTCACTCTTTTACTTCCTACTACTACATAGATATATACGCTAAATATACTTCATATTTTGGGCCCTAGAGGATGATCTCGTCATGAATCTAGTCTGTTAACTGGTAACCATTGGTTTCGGTTTGAATTAATAATTAATTAATTAAGATAATTTAGCACAGACTATTTCTTAAGTAGAAATGTAGAGTGAGCTAGTGTGTTTTCATTTATTTTTCTCATCTTATATGTTTAACTTCACTTTTAATTCTATTCCACCTTTTTTCTTTATCTTGTTTTCTCTTTATTACTTTAACTTTTGAGTCCTTTATAACTGACACACTGGCCCACACATCAACACAATGATGTTATATATTTAATGCGACTGTATCTAGCTGAAGTTAAAAAAGAGTGGCCGTGAGTTTGTTTGCCCTTTCTTCTCATAAGACTCAACCTCTTGGAAACAGGTAGAAGCATATAATAGATTATCTTCCTTTTTCTAAATATTAGACAAAACAGATTGTTGCTATTGACACAGAGTGTTAAAAGACACTTTAGAGTCTAAAACGGTTTCAAATTGTTTTGTTCTTTGTACAACATAGACATTTTGAGTTTGAATTAAAGCTAGACTATTCACGCTACCAGAAGCCTTGAATTAGTTTTTATATGAATATTATTAAACAAGTTTGCAACAAATTGATGTTATTTTAAATCACTTGAACAAGTTTTCTCACAAATAACAGATTGCAGAATCTAGTTTCCATCGTATCGTATCGTATCCATTACTCACAAACATGTGATAGATCGTGATTCATTCATTACACTATGTGCTCATTCTATTCTAGGATGTGTCGTCATCATGTACTCAACACAACTGTTTTCATCACTGTATCTCTTGCACCTAACTAACCCTCTTCCTCTCTTCCTACCTCTCTAACTCTTTTAATTTATTTTGGTCCGTTTCTGGTCCCGACACATTTGTTTGCACTGATGTTTGCATGCGATTTTCAGGTTCTGCCTGGATTTTCCAAGTTTGAGCAAATTAGTATTGGGTTTTTAGGAAAACTGTTAGTGCAAAACATGGGTGGTAAATATTTAAACATGTGATTATAAATATGCCCAATGTTTTTTTTTCTCCAAATACGTCTAGAAGATTTTATTGTAGTACTTTGGCTTGATAATATAAATTATTTTAATGGTATTCGCATTTGGAAGGCCATGGCTATCCGCTGTTGGACATAGGCGTCTTTCAATGACTGCCAATGGGGTTTTTCGTATAGTTTCCACATATGTACCTGTACATTACATTGACAGACGCCGATGCGATCCCAAATATTTTGTGTACATCGACTCAGTCTGTCGGTAACCAATTCAGATCTCAGAATTGCGTTTTTCCGTTGGCTGGTGATTTGAATTCTATATTCGATAATTTCTTCTAATAAATTTCTAACGATGGGATCGGTATCACAACCATATTTTGACAGCTATTACGTAAATCTCGATTACTGAGAATTGTGTAACAGAAAATGCCAAATTTGAACGTTAAACCATGTTTCGAAATAAATTAATTGTGCATCGTATAATTGCAATAGAATATTCTTTCGCAGGTGGCATCCACCAACAGCACAGCGGGGGGCATATGGCCACAGTGCCAGTCAGCATGTCATCATCAGCATCAGACAGTGACAAGCCTGCCAAACAGAAGAGGCATCGGACGAGGTGAGGACCTAAGCTATTCCATGTGTCCAAATACTTTTATGAAAAACTGTGTACTAGTATATCATCATCATCATCATTATCAGCCTACCGCAGTCCACTGCTAGACATAGGCCTCTACTATTCCACGCCGCTTCGATCGATTCGAAAATTGAAAATTATGGCCTCTAAATGTCAGAGAGGGATAGACAATATAAATATGAAAATTCGTATTTTAGTACACGCAAAATATAGCAATGGATCGTACCATTCAAGTACATATTTATCTACTGTTTTACAAGTTTTTCACCTCTGTTACTTAAGAAACGTGCCCAGATTTGGTATGTTGCTTAAAATATTATTTGAAGATACTTTACCTTTTTCCATTATTGTAATCTTTTAGGAATTCAGTCAACATCAGGTAAAAATGTTAAAGATGCCTTTAGTTATATACCGTCTCTGATATATAAATAGAATAAATGCTTCTGCTAATTGTATGAAATGTGTACAAAGTGTTATATATGTACTAAATAAGACCATTAATACGCCACATTTATACGATAAGAGTATGATATTAATTTTTGTTTTCCTTTATTGTAAGGTTTACGCCGGCACAATTGAACGAGTTAGAGAGATGTTTCTCAAAGACTCACTACCCTGACATCTTCATGAGAGAAGAAATAGCTATGAGGATCGGACTCACCGAAAGTAGAGTACAGGTTAGTTTTAGAAATGTAAGAATCAGAGAATAGGATTTTTTTACTATGAGTCGGAACCAGAAAATTGTATAAGAGTGCCCGCAAATGAAAAAAGAATCATAATCTAAAAAGAACTTTGCTAATATTTGATAGGCTTACTATAAATCAAAATGCCCTTTTCAACATCCGTTGGAAACACACAATATAAAAAGTAGCGGTCCCAGCGATCACCTTGTAAAACACCGTCTTCGCACGTCCGATACAAAACTTGCACTACTTTGATATATTTCACGGATCCCTTTACCTGATTTTACTTCGCTGCTGAACATATAAAAATATCAGTTCAAACTTATTCTTTTCTTAAATCCATGCGTATGGGTGGCCGACACTATCAAATGCCTTTGTAAAAACTTAATAGTGGAGTAAGTTCATATACGGGAATTTTATGAGCTTTAAACTCCGTGTCATAAGTTTTTATTAACGCCAAAAATATTTTTTAATAATATGCCGGAAGCTTTGTTTTTAAAGACCCTTTTTACAGGCTTTATAATATTATTCGAATCCATATTCCTGCAGTACGTTTAAATGTAAAAACTCTCAAAATTTAGAATCCTAGTGGCTTTTCCATTGTGAACTTTATAAAAAACGTTTTTAGAGGTTTTTTTTTAATTCTATTGAACAGTTTTACTACTGTTTAATGGCTGCTCACATTTACCTATAGATAATACAATGCCAGCTAATATTAACGGCCAACTATCGCACTAATCAGCAACTGTCACTTTGTTCAAGCACTTAGTTTAAAGTTAAACTATGCTTTACATTAGGCATTAGTCTTAATTTGTGTCGTGTGTTCACTAATATTTGTATTTCGTTAACACTCGCGACATACGGCTCTCTTGGTTCAACGGCTTTTGTGACGTTAGTTGGCTGATAGTTCTGATACCGATTATGTTTCATGGACATACGTTTTGTTAATAGTAACATATATATATATATATATATATATATCCATAGAAATTGGAATTGAATCAATCTGATCAAGGGCACTGAATAGTGTCAGTAATCAGTTTAATTTAAAAATAACAATAATAGCTGACTACTTAGAGAGTACTTAGAGGCTTACTACGCTGAGTGTTGTAGGTTCGACATCACACACAACACTTTGTGTGATTCGCAAATTGTTGTTCTAAGTCTGGGTGCTCTTTGTGTGTGTTCGTTTCATGTTTGTTTGTAAAGTCCCCCGCCACACAGTATATATTCCAAATGCGGGAGTTGTCTTTTTAAAAAAGAAAAGACAGAAAGAATAATAACCTCACACATCTCACACATCCGAAACCAGCCGTCTGATACCAAACTAGGCAAAAGCCATAGCACACTATGGGAACCGGACTGCAGACAAACATATTTACAAATTGTTAAATACACTCATATTATATATAAATAACATCCAGACACAGAAAAAATAGCCGTGCTCATCACACAGTTAATTGTCCTGAATTTGAATCGAACCCATGGCATCTGACTTAGCACTCAGGATCTCTGACAACCAGATTAACAGGCCTGTCAGTACATTATTATGTGTTGTCAAACTGCAGTGCATTAAAACCTCTATAGCTGAGGCATTTTCATTTACATGTTGGACATCTGTACCGACCGTATGTAGACCTCCATGTAGTCAGTTGTAATCCGTGAAAATTGCCGGTTTATCGCTATTGTTAATAATTTTATGTTCATTGTAGTTATCGGCTGTGTGTCGAACAACTGTTTTAACTGCTACTGAATGAATTCATTGATGTTGTTCATACATATTGAAATGTTCATGTTACAAATGGTTCACGATTTCTTAGTCATGTCTTGATGATGCTAATAGACATCGGTGTAGTGGGTAGTGGTTGAAATTGTGAAATTGGTACCAACTAGTTCCGATTGTTTTAAAACAAATATGAATATTATAAGTTAGTGCCATTGTTGTCAATAATATAATTGAAAGGTATGTTTAGTCTAAATGCCGCAAAATCTGTTGAGAGCTTCATTGTTATTTTAAATTTCTTAATTCTTCTCCTTGAAAGTAACTAATTTTAATGCAATTTATTTAATACTAACGTAGGGTATCGTGCTTAAAATTAGGCTATATCCGTCCTTCCTTATCGGAGTATTTCCATACTAAATTCATTAAAATCATTCAGCAGTTTAGCCGTGAAAGCGTAACAGATAGTTCTAGCTACCACCAAAACCTCGTTTTATGATTTTCTGTGAAATTCTTGCATATTTTAGTTGTAATATTGTATTATTAGACTTTTGAAGGAAGACATAAAAGTGAAAATATCTGTGGTGAGAAAACATTATATGTCAATTCAAATTCGAAATATCTTTATTTGATAAAAATTTGAAAAATGTTTGAAATCGTCTTTAATGTAGACTCCGAAGTCGTAGATCAACACACACAGTAGCAACAATTTCTGTTTTGTCAAATATATTTGTAATATATATATATATAGCGCGTTTAAGTTACTCACCGTCTATGCTTACAGGTGTATAAAAACATCATTAGTTATCTATGTACATTATAACACTAAAGAATCACATTGTTAATCATGGAATATTTAATTTTTAAGTTTCAATAAAATTTTAAGACACAGAAAATACACTGTAGGTATAAATAAAGAAACCATTCGATGAAAGACAAGCTCTGCACAAAAGTGCTTTTTATTCGAGGGTCATTAACAAAGGTAATTGTTTATTGACACATAAGTTACTTACATGATACTATCAAAATTAAACACAGAGTTTGATTATCTATTACATTTTTACTAATACTGACTCCCAAACTAGGCCTGAAGGCCTGAAGCCTGTATCTTGGGAGACAGTGTTAGACAGTACTGTTTGTAGGTACTTTACACTTTATCCGTATAGGTAATCAAGAAAATATATAATCGCGGGGTAGTGTAATGTGTCGGTGGGTGGTGGTGTGTCATGTGTATGTTTGCGTGTGTGTATACGTGTGTGGGTAAATCGGGCCTCGTGTAATGTAGGTTTAACGTTAAACTTTCATACTTAACACTTACTTTTCATAAGTAACACTTAAGTACCACTTTATGTAAACGTTGCAATTTTTGTGTCAAATTGTAACCAGCATTTTGATGAAAAATTACAACACTAATGAGAAATTCAATAGAAAAATGGTAAATTTAATGCCTTTTCTTATATCATTGTAGTTTATCATTCGATTTCCTCGAAGAGACTTTCAGGTCTTTGAGATATTCTTTATCTTTTAATGAATCTTTAACAATGCCTTAATCAACATATTGTATCATGATATTAATTAGTTTCTCTCATCCTATCTTCGCCGTTTACCTCCAATATAATGACACGATTGCATTGCAAACAAATCACATCACATTACGTACATTTCGTAACTGAACACCAACAAAACTGCCATCTCACAAAGTAACACTTTTAGTCGCAGCCACACATTTCGACAAAAAAATAACGTGATGTATGAATAAAACCTTACAAAACAAACATCACTAACCTTTACACCTCGGAGTTTAAAAAAGTAGCGTCGACAAAAAAGTCAAAGCACAATAAATAAATATGGAAGGAAGAATGTCGCGGTGTGGCGCGAAGTGGTCGAGCCCCGCGTCGAGGTACAAAACGAACAAATGTACTGTTCGACTTGAACAACGAGATCTGGCTACTGTTCGATGTTAGAGGCCTATTGTATCTCCCTTTGTCTATTCATATCAACATTTCATAGCGTCTTCTTTTACATTTATACCTGTACGATCGTTACTCACTTGATAGTGCGTTGTAATAGTGCTAGCAAAAAAAAAATGCGATGGAATAATTGTAGATAAAACTGGAGGTAACTAGATTTGTACAAGGGATTGGTTCTATAGTCTCTTCTCTACGGTTCAAGATCCAAAGGCAAACTAGAGATAACCACGCTCTTACATACCTGCAGAGTTTATCATAAATATATTTACCTACGACCATATTTAATTTTGGTCTCAATAACGGTCAAGTTAAATCAGTGACTTTTTACTAAACGTCAAAACGTTAGACGCGGTACATTCTTGTATGAAATACTGAGGCGTGTCTTCACTCCTAGCTATCATCAAATCAAACATGAAGATATTTAAAAAACTTACAATCGCTAATGGAGTACAACTCAACTTCAAAGGCCAGCAACGGTCACAAGTGAGTGGCCGCCTTTTTAAGCGTACCTCTCCTAAGAAATAGGGGGAGTTTTGGGCTCCTGTAACCTTAGTCATTCGGTGAAAAACAACGAAATAATAGCTTAAAACGGATTTTTAGTGGGGCCACCACGGACTCACTGAAAATCACGATATCGAGTCGGCATATTTGTACCCACGCACAATACCGTAGAAAAAAAAATGACTTGTTGATTTGTACTATATAAATGAGTAGTATTGTACTGGCCACATCTCAGCCGAAGCTCACGGCTACTCATACAAAGAAACATACATAACTATTTACAGTGAGTCGGTCAATCGCAAACAACGGCTGAGTTTCCAGACTATTTGCTCGAGTTCGACCGTACTGTATTATATAAATAAGGATCCGAGCGAACAAATACTCCTTCCACGCAAATGAGAAATAGATGAAAACACGTTTGTAAGAAGTACCCACATTTGTGTAATATTCTGTGTACTTCTGGTAGCCTGGTACTTGGGATGAAGATACAGAGACAAGGAATACTGTTCTTTTAACACCACGTCGGTGATAAGAAGTACTCGTAAGTAGTCTTGATGCAGTTACGGTCGCAGTGTCGCATTTGGACGCTAGTAATACTAATTGTTTGTAAAGTGTGCTTAGTTTTACTGTATTGCGGTATTAGTGTTATATCCAAGCTTTTATTTAACTTGCAGTGTTTGTATGTCTCATGTTCGGCCAGAATCTTGAAAGCTAAATTAAAACCAATGCCCCATGTCCGATTGAGTTCAAATTTTGTGTTCACATGTATCTTCAGTAACAATACAATAACAGAGGTCTGAGCT